TCATGTATCATAACATTACTATGTATGTATAGGTACAGAGGGATAGGCCTGACTGGTATTATAATCCCCATTTTATAAGAAACGGAGTTTTAGAAGAGCCACATCACCGTTCCAGAGTATACAGCTAGTGAGCAAATCAATTGGAAATGCAGCATGAGTATCTAGATTTCATTTATTTTCACTCTACTAGCTGCCTTACATTAATCATAACAACTTGTGCCTTACAAAGTGCTTTCAAATGCCTTTTCCTTCCTTACAACACATTGGTAGGTAGATAGAGCAGGTCATACTTGGCACCATCTTTCAAATAAAAAGGAGCCCTGGTAGGGTAGTGCAGTGAGTTACTCGATGAGTTGCTAACCTCGTGGTTAGTAGTTCAAACCCTTCCAAGGGTGAAAGATGAGTCTGTTCTCATAAAGATTTACAACCTCAGAGACGCATAGGGGTAGACTGACTATGTCCTGTAGGGGTCAACTCAGTAACAATGAAGTTTTGGTTTTTCAAATGTTGAAAACAAATTCAGAGAAAAGTGACTGGCCTAGTGGTATGGATATCTACATGAAGGGATTACCCCCCAAAACCAATGCTCATTTGTTTTTTTGATGTGAGGGAGATAGTGCGATGTGAGGGAGATAGTGCATTTGGAGTTTATTGGATCGGGTTGGACTGTTAAGCTTCTATTTAGAGGTTCTGAAAAGATTGAAAACAGTGTGCAACAAAAGCCTGATTGTGGCAGATGGGGTTTGGTTTGCCACCAAGACAATGCATCTGCTCATGCAGCATCTCAGTATGCCAGTTTTTGGCAATATTCTCTTGCCCCATGTACCTTAATGACCTGACCTCACTCTGTGAGACTTCTTTTTGTTTCCACAAGTGAGAGGGACATGAAAGGACAGCAATTTGACAACAGAGAAGAGGTGAACAAAAAAGCGGGGGAGGTGCTGTCAGGCATCCAAACAGATGAGTTTGAAAAATGTTTCCAAGAATGGAATTGCAGGTTTGACAAATGTATTAAGTGTAATGGAAAGGGTTTTGAAGGTGACAAGGAAGGTTGTTTTGTGTAAAAAAAATTCAATACAGCTTTGGAGGAAAAAAAATCTGTTTTGATACCAGGAGGGTGGAGGGAAGGTAGAGGAGAAAGGGGGAACTGATTATAAGGTTCTATATATAACCTCCTCCCTGGGGGATGGACAACAGAAAAGTGGGTGAAGGGAGGCATCAGTGTAAGATATGATGAAATAATAATAATTTATAAATTATCAAGGGTTTTTGAGGGAAAGGGGAGTGGGGAGGGAGGGGGGAAATGAGCTGATACTAAGGGCTCAAGCAGAAAGCAAATGTTTGAGAATGATGATGGCAACAAATGTACAAATGTGCTGGACACAATGGATGGATGTATGAACTGTAATAAGAGTTGTATAAGCCCCCAATAAAATGATTTTTTTTTTAATCTGGGTTTTTGGGGGAGGTACCCCTTATATGTCATATCTATATGATATGGATAGCAATATGCAACAATCGAATAACAGTATCTTAAAATGTATACATTTAGAAAGTATATGAAATGATGTTAAAATAATTCATATGCCAGGTAACTATTACTAGTTGCTGTCTACTCAGCTCCGAATCCTGGCAACCCCATGTCCAACAGAATGAAATGTTGCCTTGTCCTGTGCCATCCTTCTGGTCAAGGATGTGCTGAAGTCCATTGTGGGGCCAGTGTGTGCTTTGACTGCCTTCCAGGTTGTGGGCCTCATCTTCAGCTCATTGCCAGACAATATTCTATTGTAATCCATAGGGTTTCCATTAGCTGCTCAAAGTACAACATTAGGCTTTTCTTCCTAGTCTATCTTTGGCTGGAGGAGCCATACAAACCTCTTCACCATGGGTAACTCTGCTGGGATCCAAAATACCAGTGACAGGGCTTCCCATGTAAGCTGACAAACTGACAGATACATGGTGGTCTAGCTAATCAGATGGCCCCAAATCGTTCATCCTGCTAGAAGCCTTGTTTTTCAAGCTTTAAACAAGGATGACCCCAAACATCCATATCTGGAGCTCCAAGGATTCGGAGATGAGGGTTATCTCTGTTTCACACAAGCATTCCTGGCTGTGTTGTTTCTGTTGAAAGCTTGATCTCCACTGCTGTATGCCTCCTGCTGGCTTGCCCATGTTCCACCCAGGCTACTCTTTAGAACACCCTTACTCTACTGAAGTGCCCTTGTCACAAGCTGTGCACCATGAAACACTTTGACTGGAGGGTTGGGTGATGGAGGGAATTAACAACTCAGGAGTGCAAACCACTTGAAGGAGAATGTTCACCCTCCACCTCCTCCACCACCACCATCACCCACACACCCTTGGCCAAAAGTCCCTGGATGGCTTAAACTGAGCCTAATGACTGGCCTCCAGGTGGGCAATTCAAACCCAACAGGCAGCAACATGAAAGAAACGCCTGGCTATCTGCTTCCATAGACATTTAAAATTCTGTTGCCTTCAAGTGGATTAGAGTTCATAGAGATTTACAGCGATTAAAACCCTTTGAGGCAGTTGTTGTTTGTAGCACGTGGGCAGTCATGCATCTGAATTTACTCCAGTACAGTGGGTTTGTTTGGTTTGGTTTGGTTTGGTCGCTGCAGCACCTCACCCCTTTAAACCGGCCACTGTACTGCACTTGCCCAGCCGCGGTGCAATGTAGCACCTTTCCTTCCCTCTTGGACCCTCGTTTCATAGGAATAGATGATGAGCCTAACTAGCTTACCTTTGCGTGAAGTCAGGACTGAAACCCGAGCATACCGGACAGGGAGGATGCTCATCCGAGGGGGCTGGGCTGAGCGTCCCAGGGAGCAGGAGGGAGCCCTGGAAGGCTTGAGGCAGAAAGAGAGATGGGTTCTTGAGAAAGTTCTGTCACCAGGGAGACATCCTCCTGGGACTGGTAGGGGAGGTAGAGGGGAGGTATAGTTGCTACCTTCTAGCATTTTTATAGTTTAGATCAGTGGTTCTCAACCTGTGGGTCGTGACCCCTTTGGGGGTCGAATGACCCTTTCACAGGCATTGCCCGATTCATAAGAGTAGCAAAATTAGAGTTATGAAGTAACGAAAATAATTTTATGGTTGTGGGGGGTGGGGTGGGGGTCACCACAACATGAAGAACTATATTAAAGGGTCACAGCATTAGGAAGGTTGAGAACCACTGGTTTAGATATCTGAATCTGATGGATTTTTATAATATCTTGATAAAGTATTACAGTATCTCTATGAAAAAAAATTGTTTACAACATCTCTATGAAAAAGAAAAACATGCTGATACCAAGGGCTCAAATAGAACGAAAATGTTTTGGAAATGGTGATGACAGCATCGGTACAAGTGTGCTTAATACAATGAGGGATTGTTATAAGATTTGTAAGAGCCCCCAATAAAATGATTAAAAACATAAATTAATTAAAAAAGAAAAACATAATAATGGTTCACTCACTTTCCACTCTCACCTTGGAATCCGAACCAACACATTAACCCAGTTAGAATTTAAAGACAAATTGTTGCCATTGAGTCAGTTCTAGCTCGCAGTGCTGCTAGGTTTCATGTGCAACATCATGAAACCCTGCTCGGTCCTAGGGTCCTATGTTTGAGGCAGTTGTTGGCACCACTGTGCCAGTCCATCTCATTGAGGGTTTTGCTTTTTGCTGACCTTCTTTCTACTTAACCAAGTCTGGTGCCCTCCCATTGATCGGTCCCTCTGAATAGCCGTCCAAGTTGAAATTTTGCCATCCTCCCTTCTAGGAAACATTCTAGCTTTAGGCCTTCTAAGACAGATACATTCATTCTTCCAGCAGTTTCTCATACACAGTGATACTTCGGTTGTCAAATGTCTCCAAGCTCAAACATTCCACTGCTCAAACAGCAACATTTAAAAAAAAAATCTGCTTGGTGTTCATGACTTTACTCACTAGTTGAACCCAAAATCGGACTTGAGAAAGCATGTCTGGAGAGAGTGAGTCATGAGTCAAGACTTGCCTGGGACATAAAGGGTTGAGGCTTCCGTGTAAGTGCTGCTCTCCCTCAGACAGCATACAGTGCTTGTGTTAGTGCGTCAAAACGTTCATCATTGTCCTTTTTGTTTGCTTTATTTGCTTAAAATATCATAACCATGGCTCCAAAGAAAGTTATGTGATACCAGCAGGTAACATAAAAGGAAAACTGTGAGACCCACAATACAGTTAAAGAAAGAAATTACTGAGAAATTTGAATCCGGTCTCCACTTATCTGATTTGGCAGCTGAATACAACATGACTAAATTGACATTACCAACAAATTTGGGGTGGGGAAATGTGATTAAAGTAGCTAATGTAGCAAAAGGTGTGCAATCGTTAACCATGTAACAAAGAACCCAGACCATTCAAGAGGTTGAAGGTGACTGTTAATTAGGATACATCAGAAACAACTCAAGGGCCGTAGGGCATCTGAGACAGGCTATGCGAGAGGGCTAAAAGCCTCCATAGTGATTTAAAGGCCCAGAAAAATGAATTTATATGTGTAATTTTGGAGTCTAAAAGCCAATTTTTTGTGTTTTCCTTATTTCTTATGGGAAAAATATGTTCAGTTCTCAAACTTTTCTGTGTTTGAACAAGAATTTGGAATGAATTGGGTTTGACAACAGGTTTGACTGCATTCAACATTCTTCACCAACACCATGATTCTGAGACATCCATTCTTAATCATTGTCCCAGTTTTTACATGCCTGTAAACTGGGAAGACCATGACTTGTGTACCTTAGTCTTCAAAGTGACATCTTTGCTTTTCAATAATTTAAAGAGGTCTTTTGCAGCAGATTTGTTCGATGCACTATGTCCTTTGATTTCTTGACTTCTGTTTCCATCGGTGCTGATTGTGGATCCAAGTAAAATGAAAGCGTTTACAGCTCCCTTCTTTTCTCCATTGACCCCGATAGTGTCTGTTGGTTGAGGTGAGAGGACTTTGTGTTCTTCATGTTGAAGTGTACGCCATACTGGAGGATGTGTTCTTTGGTCTCCAAAGTTAAGTGCGTTAAAGTCTTCTTCTCTTGCAGCAAGTGAGGTTGCATGATTGCCGTGTTACAAATTGTTAACGAGCCTCTTCACCTCCTGGTGCCATGTTCTTCCGAGAGCCCATCTTCTCAGAACAACTGCTCAGCACCTAGATTGCATGAGCCGCTCAATGTATGCTTGTTCTGGGTAAAGGACTCCCTGTTAGTCTCTGTGCAGCTTCTGCGTGTTCTCGGAATCACATGGTCAGCATCGTTGTTTACAGTTGTCATGGTACAGGCAATCGAATGCCTTTGCACAGCCAATGAAACAGAAGAAAATATCTGCCTGCTATCCTCTGCTTTCCGTCAGATCCCTCTGCCATCAGCAATGCCTCGAGCTTGAATTTCTTGAAATCCCCTGTTGGTATTCTCCTGCAACGGTTTTGTCATTACTGTCAGCAAAAATTTTGCATGTGATAGTAGTGATATTGTTGTAGAATGTCCACCGTCTGTGGGGTTGCCTTTCTTTGGGATGGGCACAACTACGGATCTCTTTCAGTTGGTTGGCCAGCTGTCTTCCCATGGGGGTGGGGGTGGGGGCGGATGAGGGACCGTCTTCAGCACGGGATTTGTTGAAGCATTCCAACTGACTTTTCACCAGATTACCGTGTGGACCTTTTCCTTTGATAGCATACTACTTACTGTCTGATGTAGCTAAACCTTGACCAGGTTTTAAGTACAGTGACTCTATGTTTTCCATATTCATTTGCTTTTCCCCACATCATCCAGTATTTTTCTCACAGACTCCCTCAATATTACAACTCGAGGATTGAGATTTTTCTTCCATTCTTTTACCTTGAGAAATACTGAGTGTGTTCTTCTTTTGGTTTTCTTACTCAAGCTCTTTTGACTTTCATTATAATGTTTACTTTTCTCTCGCTATACTTTGAAATTATCTGTTTAGCCCTTTGTTGTTGTTGTCTAGCTCTTTTACTTCATAACTACTACCATTCACCTTAGCTAGTCTATATTCAAGAATAAGTTTCAGAACCTCTTCCGGTCTTTTTGCTTTCTTTTTAAAAAGATGACCTTTGCTTTCCTTTTATATGGTATACTTGATACTAGCCCACAATGTGTTTGTTCTCTTATCATTTCTTGAGATGGTTTCAAACTCAGGTGGGAAATACTCAACGTCATACTTTGACTCTTATGGACTTGTTTTGAAGAGAAATTAAGGCCTTTAAAAGGAAATCTAAACTGGGAATAATCTCCTAACATCCAGGAAATTATATTTATCAAGGACTTAAACAATAGCATATACTCTTTTGTTATTTTAGAAGCGTTATACATTTGGCACTTATACTTTTTTGAAAAGAAATAGTGTGTTAACAGTTTTTTTCTTTTATTTATTTTAATATGTCTATCTATATAAGATAGGCAGGATAAACAATCCCGGGGAGAAAACTGTTTACTTTCATGTTATGCATACATGTTTTACTCAGTGATTGAAAATAAAAATCTTAAAAATATTTATTCTAAATTGTATTTAGAAACATTTTTTAAACCACATTGAGCAATATAGCAGTCATTGTTCTCTAGCAACTAGCTCCAGAACAGTACACTTGAATCATATTACAAAAATTAGCTTCAGAAATCTACTGTAAGGTAAAAAAATATTAACACAGTAGCAATTATACTGCCTAAAGGGATACTATTCTGTAATCATTAGGCTGATAATCCCAAGCTTAACAATTCAAACCTACCAGCCAACCTGTGGAGGAAAGATGAGACTATATACTCTCGTAAAGCCTTAAAAATCCTATACAGGGTCACTGTGAGTTGGAATCGGCTCAATGGCACTGGATTTTTTATAGAACAGAATGTTGACAATTGCCCAATATAGACAGTCATATTAAATAAACTCTCAACTTTTGAAAAGTTGAGAGAACTTTAGATATTTATTGAATGAAGTATGTTAGTCACATACATATTTGAATTATTTATACAATGCTTAGGAAAACTTACAATCAAAGTTGCATCAAAGTAAGTTTAATTAAATTTTTGATATCTATAAAGCTACTGCATAAATAACTGGAGTTTTACTAATTATTAATACCAGATATATACAAAATCCATGCCTTAGGGAGAAAGAATTGCTAAATACAGTATTCATTTGTCAATTCAACTGGAGATGTAGTGATAAAAATGAGTGTAGGTTTTTGGATTTTTTACTCTTTAGCCATGAATACCTAGGGTGCTGGAAAGTCTCTTTCATGAACTTTGTCTCATGTGTTAGGCTGGATTTTCAAGAGACGCAAAGCCAGAGCTGCTTATATTTGTATGTAGATATAGAAAGATTTGTATAATGAGATGGCTCACACAGTTGTAGAATGGGGTATGTCCAATCTGGTTCAAGTCCATGGGTCAGATGTGAACTGGAGGCTTCTCCTGATGCAGGCTGACAACAGGAAGCAGGGAGATGAAGCAGGAAGACCACAGGCTGGTGAATGCAGAGCGGATAGTTCCTGAGATCAGTAGGCAGTATAACAGGTGGTCCATAAACCAGATCCAAATCCAGCAGAAGTGAGCCACCTTCCACACAGTGTCAGTCTATCCTAAGAGCAGGTCACAACTTGAATGAAACCTCCCTCAATAGTATCAAAACTATGACTAGATTAAGGAAATGATATTCTGCCCTCTTCTTCCCACAACTGCCTGGTTGCTTCCCAGAAGACCCTACCATGGATCTTTGCACCACTCTGCATGAGACCACACCATGGGAGGATCTTGGCCCATGCAAGCTAAACGTAAATCTATTACACCTTACTATTCCAGGTTATGCCCTAGGAACTACGTAAGCTCATTCCACAGGGAGGCTTTACCCACCACCATTAGTAGCTATTGCTTCTTTTGTGTGACAACTGCTCTCATACAAATCGTTTCATTCAATGCCTTTTCCACATTCCCATCTTCATTTAAAGAGAAGCCAAGGACTCCCAGAGAGGTTGCAGTGTAAGACCAAACCCAGGATTGTTTTTTTCCGGGAGGTGTTTTGCACTTCCCAAATCTTCCTTTTCTTATAATCTTTATTTTGTTTTCATGGAATAAAAGTAAAACCAAACCAGTTGCATTCAAGTTGATTCTAGTTTATGGCAGACCTGTCTGTGTCCCAGGGGAACTCTGCATCACAAGGATTTCAATGACTGTGATCTTTCAGAAGTGGATTTCCAGCCCTTTCTTCAAGATGCTTTTAGGTAGATTTGAACCTCCAACTTCTCAGTTATAGCCAAACATTTAATCCTCTGTGCCACCCAGGGATTCCTTTTAGGAATTATGTTATGTTTAGTAATACAGTTTGTGTATCTCTTTGTAAAAAGAATGTTTTTAGAAAAAAATTTATACAAACCAGTGAATCAACAAATGGTCGCTACATTTACATATCTTCCATGGAACAAGATAAAATTCTAATTCATTCAAATTAATTTCATGTTCTGATATATAATCAAATGACCCATTTTCTAAATGAATCTTTAAAAAAATTATTTTAATTCTCAGCAGAGGCCTAATCACTAAAATCATGTTAAACTTAAGACCTGGAAAGCATAGTTAGGAACTATTGGAAGCCTGCTGTTAACATGCTGCCCTGGGAATTTAGAAATATTTTCAATTTCAGGCAAAACAGCATACATAAATTTGCTCCTAAATGAAGTTATCTGAAACAGTGGATACACACACATATACACAGCACATACATAAAAACCTTTATAAGTATATCAGCAGTTAGTCCATAGATAATTTCCTACCATCGCATCTTTTTTTATTGAGGAAAATAGATAGTCCTGCTATTATAACCTAATTAGTGATACTTCTTCTGTTGGGAACAATAACCAGCGTTCTAATGCCCTGGTTTGATAAGATGAACAATAAGTGAAGCTTTAACAAAGCACTGTAGTGTTTAAGAAAATTCTTCACACATTTTTTTGTTTACTTTTCCGGGGGAGTTTTTTTTTCGGTTTCCTTTTTGTTGTTTTTTGTTTAAATTTAAAAGTTCCATTTTTCTTATTTGTTTTTGCTAACAAACTTAGCTGCGTGAGAGACATCAATGTTGGCAAATCAAAACTCCCTACCAAAGCTGAGGACCGAAATGAGCTGAATTCAAGTGTTTGTTTTCCCAAAGCCCTGCTGAATATGTTGTCTAGATTGTACCAGAGAAGGCTGAAGGCAAAACACGGGTGTGTCTATCCAACAATCCCTGACTCTGTTTATACCAACTGAAGCTGTGCCTTTCATATCAGAGCCCCATCAGAAAGGGGAGGGGAGGAAGAGATAAGCCCATCCGTGAAACAGTATCCTTTAAGAACCGCCAGTCACTTCCTGCAATCAAAACCATGCTCGCATGTGGCTTGTTCAAATAAAAATTACTGGACTAGAGCCAAACAAGGAAAAATAATTGATAATGTGGTTTCTCAGAAACCATCCATCCATCAAATGTGTCAGTCCTTCATAATACTTTATTTCCCTTCTGAACAAAGATCCTTAAAATTCATTGTGTGCACTTAAAAACAAAGTGTCCTTGTGCTTGGTTTATAAAGATGCTCTTTTAGTTTTGGTTTGGTTTGTTATTGGATTACATTCCCTCCCATCCTGCTTTCGTTCTTCTTTTTATCCCCCTCACCCCCCTCAGATAGTTGCTGGAAATTTCTGCCGTTCTTAAACAAAGCATCTTTGTGCTGTATCAGCTTACATTTTCCTTGGATTGCGTGGGGATGATGCCTTCTCACTGACTTCAGCGCTGGAGGATTGTAGCCATCGCTTTAGTAAGTAGACTGTAACAAACAGTTTCACTGGCCCTTTTTGTGCATTGCATTTCATTAACCTGCCAGGGGAAACCGCTGCTCAGAGTAAGACACCAGGGTTATTGCAAGCAGTGGCAACACTGCAGAAGAACTCTTGGGTCATACTTGTGGCTAGAGAAAGCCACGAACAGTTATTACCAAAGTAGCAGGGGTGGGACGGGGCTGGCGGAGGAGGGGTTGGAAGGGATGGGGGGGAGGCAGTATTCCCCCACAGTGAGTTAT